TATGTAAAACTAGGAAACTAGGCTAGAATTTAGTTTATCTTTTGTGAAATTCTGTCACCTAGGCAACTAGCCATTCCATCATTTCCCATTGCCTTTTACACCTATTGGGTCATTTTAATTTCACCTGGGAATTGTCTCTGGTTCAAAATTTGCCATTTTCTTTCGTCAAATGCTATAATAAAGGGAAAGTTTTTCATTTTACCGTAAAGGGGAAAACCATGAACCACACTGTGTACCTGCATTTGCACCATTTGGGAAGTTTTTAAGGGACACATGCCTTGTGCCCCCWTAGGGGCCGATTCATTTTTCTTGAGCATAGTACAGCACTTTTCCACATCTATTCTGGGACTGCCCAATTTACATACCAACTGAGCCACCACTCAGTTGGCAACTGTAAAATGCAATTACTTGATATATATTGAGATCGTGGTTTCATACAAAATGCCATATCCACACTTAGATATCATTGTTCAATTGTTTTACCCTGTCAAATTTAACATACAAAATGCCACGTCCACATTTAAATATCTGACTTCTGTGTATAATTGCAAGAATGTATATGTAATTGGTGATTTTTCTTTTCTTTTTATATGTCAATATATTGGGTCTGCTTCAGTCTTCCAAGACATTATACACAATTGTATTTGGGTACAGTTGATAGTTGATTATATTATTTGGTTCTCTTTCTATATCTTTTTGTTTTTTAGTAAGTTTGTACTTGTTGATTACAATGAGGAAGGCTTCTGATATATGGGCTATATTCCATAGGTTGTAAACCGAATCCAGAAATTACGAAAAAAGGCTGCATTGGCACCTACTGACATGGTGGAGGTGTACATTGAATCACTAGATGATGATAAATCCATATTACAGCATGTTCTGAATTCACAGGTAAATTGATGGCCATTAGCTCTCAATAATAATCATCTTGTAAGTATTAAATTGTCTATGCCTGATATAATTATCTAATTGCCATTATAGTTAAAACCGCAGATATCAGAAATTCAGACTCGAGTTAGGGGTCTGTATGGGTTTGCCTATATACATGTTTCACATGCATAACATAGTGCACAATATAAGATAATAACTTTTCCTACTTCAACTTTTGACCTATGTGGTCGTAYTCCTTTATCTTTCATTTCTTCACCCCATTTTGTTGCATGTTCTAATTATGACCACCCAAAGTTTTGAGAGGAGATCACCATTCAACACTCCCTCCTGAAAGGTATTATTAACAATGATAATGGCAAGTGCAATAGCAAAATTCTTCTCATGAAAGCAATATATTGTGCCTTTGATTTCTCTCTCTAAGCCCAAATGCTCACACTCTSATGAGCATTTTTTTAACTATTGCAAAAACAAGACCAAGCCTTTGAAAGCAATGTTTTAAAGCATAGAGGTGTGATGGGAGTCATTCCACTACTTGGAGGCGTGAGGCATAGTTCAGAATGTAAGATGTGTAAGCCTCCTCAAGAGGAGGGGGGTGAAGAGAAAGAAAGAGGAAGAAGAGAAACGAGGATCTCTTTTTTCTTTATTTTTCATTGAAATCTTTTATATTAAGAAGAGTGAATGTGCATTATACCAATGTTTTAAAACGCGGAGGCGTGATGTGAGGCGTTCCACTACCTAAAGGCGTGAGGCATAGTTTAGAACGCAAGAGGCGTAAGCCTCCCGAACACAAGGAGGCGTAAGCCTCCTTAAGAGGAGGGGGGTTAGGAGGAGGATGAAGAGGAAGGGGGGGATCTCATTTTTTCTTTATTTTAATAAAAATCTTATTTATTAAGAAGAATAAAGATGCATAACATTAGTTGAAAGGGGGGGTCTTGTCGAAAAGGGGGTAGGGGGGTCTGGGGGGCGAAGCCCCCTGGCCGAAGGAGTAGGGGGCAAACCCCTTTCTTTCCGCTCATCTTTTCTTCCCTCCC